CACCACCAGAGACCACGGGGCTTCCCTCCTTCCAGGGGCCTTAACGAGGAGCCTCAGCACCCACCACCCCCCGCCCCAATGCGGCCCCCTCCACCTCTCCCTGCCCGGGGGACCCAGGCTCTGCCTCCTGTCAGGAAGATGGACTCTGGCAACATGCACTTATTTTGGGGGACCCCTCCCTGGCCTACCCACTGGGACGTGGCCCTGCCCCATAGACCCACGGAAGAGTCACAGAAGAACACTGGAAAACACAGCAGAGCACACATCACCACGTCAAGGAAACTGAGTCACAGACAACAGCTGGGATGGAGCTTCAAGCACAGTCCTCACGGGGCTCCCCGCAGCCAGCCCAGTTCCTGGTCTGTTTTTCCTTCCCGAGGCCACTTGCGGGGTGAGGGTGGCGACTTTCCCGTCCAACCTTCCCGCTGTCTTCCAGGACTGGGCCGGGGTCTCTGGGGGAGAAACTGCTCTGATAAGAACACACACACCTCCACAAGAACAAGCAACAGTTGGCCAGAATCTCCGCCGGGAAAGCAGAGGCTGAGCCCCCGACCGAGCGGACAGGAGCCACCCAGCCTCGGCGGGCAATGGCACACGGTGCAGGCCCAAGAGGTCACCCAGCATGAGGGCCAGAACCTCCGCCCCCTGGCTGCTGCACACCTCAGGGTTCTTCACAGGAAGGGTGGGTGGTTGGGTGACTGGTGTAGAAATGGGTGTTTCCCTGACGCGTGGGTAAGTACAGGGCCTAGTGAGATATGGGAGGTCTTCCCAGAAGAGGGAGCAGCCCACCCCAAGGGGTGGCGAAGGGTGTCCCCCTCTTGGGAGACCAGACAGCTGGCCCCCTGGAGTTGACTGCCTCCCCCTAACGTCTCCCAGACCAGGGCAGTGGTCTGGGTGTGGGCTGAGTGGTGAAGATGTTGGGGGTCTGGTTGACCAGGCGAGTCCCAGGTTCTCCTCGCCCGTTCGCTCCAATCTCCAGTGGCCCTGCACAAACACAAGCAGAACACAACAACCCTCCCAAGCCCCCTTCTTCCTCCTCCTGCCCAAAGCTGCCCTCACACCCACTGGCATGAAGCCAGCTGTGGGATCACTGGCCCCCCAGGCCCCCAGAACCCCCTGTGCCTGAGCCGGGCTCTGGCCTCGTGGTCCCTTCCCGACAGTCTGTGCTCCTTGCCACACCCTCCAGGCTGCAGGCCAGGAGAGCAGTGGCCGGCACTGGGCTCTGGGCCGGGGTGTCTGCTGCCCTCAGGGGCTCCAGGGTGCTGCCTTCCTGGGGCTCCCCTAGGGCAGTGTAGATGATCCTGAACACAGGGTGGACCCTGCGGTCTCTTCTCCGGGGCATCACCTCTCGGCTGTGCTGCTCTCCCTCTCTGGCCCTGGCTCCTGGTGGCAGGGGTGGTCCCGCCCCGGGCTGGGGTGGCCCCGAGGAAGGCTCCTCTAGGCCGCTTGTGGCCTGGGGACCTGTAGTCATCCTCAGCTCAGAGTCCACAGGGTGGGTGTTAGGGGGTGGCCGGAAGAAGGGGCCGAGTCCCAGTCCTGAGCCCCCAGCTGCACCCTCTTCAACCCCAGGGTTGCGCTCCCCGCCGGAGGCTGTGGCCCCGCACCTGCTGGGCAGTCTCTGGCTCCTCCTCCTCCTCCTCTGTGCCCTACTCCCAGGCCTCCCAGAATTGCGTGTGGTTAGACCAACAGAGTCCCTTCCCGCTAGCACTGGGGAAGGGGGCTTGGCCCTGGCTGCACTGTGGCCCCCTGCTGTCCGCCTGGGGCTCCCCTTCCCCTTCTTCCAGCATTTCTGCTGCCTGCTAGAAGAAGGGGTACCAGGGTCTTCCGAGCCTATGCTGCTCAGGGCTCGGGGTGGCTCACAGCCCCAGCCCCTACCCCGTTTCCCGACTCTTCCGCTGCACCTGGCTGCTTCTGCTTGGCTGGGGGCTGGTTCTCCACCCTAGGACACACGGTGTGGCTGTCATCCCCACTGCCATGGCAGCATGGCAGGCGCCTGCGCTTCAGTGAAGGAGCCCCTTCCTGTGCTGTCTGGCTGCTGCTCTCAATGAAAGACTGTGCCGGCAGGGGGGTCTGGGCTGCAGGGTCATGGAGCTCCACTGTTCCCTGTCTGCTGGGGCCCCTGCGGCCTCTTCCCACTTGCCTCTGCTTCTCCCTGGCCACCGCCTGGCTTGTCTCCCACTCTTCTTCATCGCGAACGAGCTTCATCAACTCCAGGAAAGTGGGCGGACACCCTCGTTGATCCATGATCTCCAGCTTGCCCCGGAGCGTAGTGGTCATGGCGGCCCGGGACATGACGTGCTTCAGGCGGATCATGTCCACACTGCGGGTGGAGATGGGGCTTTGCTGCACTGCTTTCTGGAGCACGGGTTCCAAGCGGAGCAGGAAAGCGGAGATTTTCTCCCCGCACTTCTGGAAGGTCTGAACGAAGCGGAACTGAGAAGTGCGAGTGTCCTCCTTGCTGCCGAATATCTGCTTCAGGGCATCCAGACAGTCCTCCACCGTCATGCCATCGTTGCTGACCCGCAGTGCCCGCATGATGGACAGTGCGGAGCCGCGCAGGCTCTCCAGCAGCCGCCGCTGCTTCTCCACCTCAGACACCTGCCACAGCTGCATCATCTCGGTCACCTGCTCCAGCCAGACCTCAAAGGTATCTTCACCGGGCCCTGGGTAAGTGCTTCCCGAAAACACTTTCAGTTTTCGGTACCACGTGCTTTCTTTCGGAGGCTGGAAATCTGGGGCCGCTGGGTCCAAGACTTCCGAAGCACTGCCCTTGGCGGCGCCTGGGCTGCTATACCCCAGGGTTTGGGCCACATCCACCATTCGCCGGCCCTCGTCTTTCAGGAAGTGGTTGAGCCTACTGATGAACTCGTCATCTGGGCTGCGGGGCTTCACCACCACCTCCCAGGTGCCCCCCCTGCCCAGGATGTGACTGGGCATCACACCATAGTTAACGGGCTCTGCCAGCTCGATAAAGACGACCTTACTGTTGTCCTTCCTCCTGAACGTTCTGCCTATCACTCTGTAGGAGCACAAGGCCTGCAAGCCCGCCTTCACGGTCTCTTTGATCTCAGCCTCACTGCACTCTACGGGGATCCCCACGATCAGCAGGGCCCTCCTGGGGTCCAGGTCCATCCCCTTGCACCAATCTTCTAACAGGGTCACGGGCATGGTTCCCACTGTCTCGGAACTGATCTAAGACCAAGACTCAACTGAGTTAGGCCCAAGCAGATGTGAAGGCAGAACCTTCACACGGTCTCCACAGCCTGCGAACGCAAACAGGTGAAAGCCTCATCAGCCCCCACGCACGGATCCGCTCCCTGCATCCCGGGGTGCCGGTAGTCATTTTGGGGAAGGCTGGGTTTGGGACGGGTCTCCCCAGGCAGAGCTCCCCCAGCCGCACCCCGACCCGCTGACCTGCTCCGGCTGTGGTTTCCTCCTCAAAGTCCAGGGACACTGCTGCGTGCTGCAAGTACCTGTGGTGGAAAGGCCAAGGTCAGGAGGTAAGGCCGATGTCTGAGACCACTGCCGGAGCCCTCCAGGCAGGAGGGCGGGAGAATGGCCCAGGTCACCTGGGGCTCCCCTCTCAGCCAACACCTGACACCCGAGAAAGATGGCTGGAGCTCTGCACAGCACTATGAGGCCAGTGGGTGTAGAGAGCGCTGACAAGCTGCAGTGTTGCCATGGATACAGACAACGGCGTGAACTAGGGGCTTCGACTGCAGAGGGGTGTCATCTGGTGAGGTTAAGGCCCTTGAAGAGCAACCGGTGATGTCACTGGCCTTGGACCAATGAAGCCTCCTAGCAACACGGAAGGATGAAGGAGGTGAGGAAGCTGGGGGAAGTGGCCGGTGAGGAGTGAGTTTTGAAAAAACAGAAGCTTATTGTTTCAAATCGTGTGGAAACTGAGACCAGAGCAGAACAGCGATCAGAGAGGGTCCGCATTGCTGGAACAGACCGCTGGCCGCCTAGCTGAGACTCCACCCTGCTGACCAGGGCCAGCAGGCAGCCCCTCCTGCTGTGCCAGGATGACAGCGGCCCCTCCCACCACAGGCCCACAGCGCAGCTGCTCACCTGGCTCTGAGTCGGGGTAGACACGATGGTGGGTGCTGCCGCACTACACTCGGTCCCAGTCAGGCAGTTCCTGGCCCAGGGGCGTAGATCTTGCCGCACTAGATCTGTCCGAGGCAAGACAGGGGCTTGCGATGGTCCTGCCTCCCCCACCTTGAACCCCTGCTCAGGTCACGCAAATTCAGCCTCTTTCTGGAGTCCCTGGTTGGTGCAAATGATTAAGGTACTTGGCTTCTAACAGAAAGGTTGCTGGTTCGAGTCTGCCCAGAAATGCCTCGAAAGAAACGCCTGGCCACCTACTTCCGAAAAATCAGCTATTAAAAACCCTACGGAGCACAGTTCTACTCTGACGCACATTGGGGCGCCATGGGTCAGAACCGACTCCACAGCAACTGATTTTTTTTTTTTTTTGGTGGAGGCACCCACAAGGACCCTCAGTGTGAGAATATAAAAACTACTCAACTCGGGGCTGCTCCTAGGGCAGAGGCAGTCCTAAAGTAAGGCTGCTGCCCCAACTCCCACTCATATCCCACCCTACCCTGTGCCCCCCTCCTCACACCCCATCCCCACTCTGTGGCTCCACCCTCACAGCCCCACCTTCCTTATCCCCTCCCCCTCACATCT